TTCTTAAATAAACTTCACATTTGTAACTATGATTATGACAGAATGAGAGATTGACTCATCATTGAAGCAGTCTCATCTTGGCTCTATATTCTATTTTCATACATCATGGAAGTGCTATGTAGTTAGGTCTGTTGCTTCTGTTCAGTCAAGCACTAAGAAATAGTAGGAACTGTAAGTCACAATAGGCAACTCTGATGTAGCAGCTTAGTCTCACATAATTTAGCTTGTCTTCATGTGTTCCATTTAGTGCCAGATGTATTCCATTTTAAAAGCAAGCCAGAGTGAGTCAAGGCAAAAGCATATCTCTCACAAAACTTCATAAACACATTTTGGGAATTAAAAAGGTACCCAACTCCTCATAAAATACATTCAATCCAATTAAATAATTCCATCTTTTTAACGCAAAATGCCAAGCTTAGCACCCACCACTAATTTATATCACTTGTATTTAACCAGTGGTTAAAAAAGGATTATGCCTCTTTAGTGCTCCCTGTTAAATTAAATCCAATCATAATAAGAATAATTATCTAGTAAAAGATAAAGCTATTTATAGCAAATTTCTAGATCACTAGAATAGCACTGATAGTCACACAATGTCAGTATTGACTTTGAACTTCTTATGGATTAAAAAGGTACATGATTTATTTTCCTTAGCAGAACATATCAGAAATATTTGACCCATTGTCTCTAAAAGTTTTATAATTGAGTGATATATTTGTCATCTTGTATTAATTGCTTTTATGTGGTCAGTAAGTCTTTTACAAAGCCAGCTACTAATTTCTTTCCTAGTAATGTTTTGCCCTTTTACATTATGGAATGTATGTATAGCCATGCAAAGCTGTCGCCATCAATGTTTTTATCTGATAATATTAAATATTTTTAAACTTAAAATAGACTGCTTAGTTTTATTCATTCTTCATTTTATATGTGTTTGGTAATAGTTATTGAAACTTGTGAAGCAATGTTTCTATTTGAATTTTCATTGTTTTCTTTATATGTTATAATGTTAAACCTCAGAAGTGTTTAAGTGAAAAAAGAATTACAAAAAGCATAATGATAGATGTATTTCTATTTATGCAGGGTTTTTTATGTATGTAACAGCTTTATTGAGATATAAGTCACATATCATACAATTCACCAAGTATACAATTCAGTTGTCTTTAATATATTCACAGAGTTATGCAGCCATCACCATAATTTTGGATCTCTTTCTTCGCCACAACAAGAAACCCCATACTCATTAGCAGTTATTCTCCATTTTCCCTGTATGAGTTTCCTATGGCTCCTGTAACAAATTACCACAAACTTGGTGGCTTAAAGCAACAGAGATTTATTCTTTCACAGTTCAGGAGGCTAGAAGTCCTAAATCAAGGTGTTGGCAGCAGTGCTTCCTTCTGGAGGCTCTGAGGCAGAAATTGCCTGTGCCTCTCCCAGTTTTTCTGGTGGTTGCTGGCAGTCATTGGTGTTTCTTGGCTGATAACTATGTCACTTCAGTTACTGCCTCTGACTTCACATGACCTTCTTCCCTGTGTGTCTCTCTGTGTCTTAAGGTGGTGTTATAAGGACAACAGTCTTTGGATTTAGCCCACCCTCCCCACAATCCAGTATATCCTTATCTTAACCAATGACATCTGCAAAGACCCTATCTCCAGATAAGGTCACGTGATGACCACATACATTTTAGGGTGGATATTATTCAATCCAGTTACATCTCCCAAACACCTCATCCCTAGGTAACACCATTAATCTTTCTGTCTCTATATTTGCCTATTGTGGACATTTTAATGTTGGGTTTAGCATTTTGCACTCCATTAAAAAAAGTATGTCTAATTTTTTGGAGGGTAGAATATCTGTTTATCATATTACAGTTTTGTTTTATTAATATAGTAATTTCCCATATAGAATATGCTGCACTGTTTAAGGTATTTTTAAAGAACTACCATTTTCTTTAGGCTGTATCAGCTGACTAGAACACACCATATGTAGGCAGGTTTAATGTAGATTATAATGAAGTGTGTGTATTAATAATTATAGTAATTCATAATTAGTGTCTATATTCTGCCTTGGAAATATTCAGTATTGTCGATGCCAGGATAATGAGTAAATGTACATGATCACATGCTCAGCTACAAAACAAGCCTCAGTAAATTTAAGGAAAATGAAATCATATCAAGCATCTTTTCCAATCACAATGCTATGAGACTAGAAATCAACTACAAGGGGGAAAAAACTGCAAAAACCACAAACATGTGGAGGCTAAATAATATGCTGCTAACAACCAATGGATCACTGAAGAAATCAAATACCTAGAGACAAATGAAATGAAAACACAATGATCCAAAACCTATTGGACGCAGCAAAAGTAGTTCTAAGAGGGAAGTTTATATTGATAATAGGCTTACCTCAGGAAAAAAGAAAAATCTCAAACAGCCTAACCTTATACCTAAAGGAACTAGAGAAAGAAGAACAAACAAAACCAAAGTTAGTAGAAGGAAAGAAATCATAAAGATCAGAGCAGAAATAAATGAAATAAAGAGTTAAAAAAAAAAAAGGAAGAAAAGATCGATGAAACTAAAAGCTGGTTCTTTGAAAAGATAAACAAAATTGATAGACCTTTAGTTATACTCATCAAGAAAAAAAAAGAGAAAGTCCCAAATCAATAAAAATCAGAAATGAAAAAGGAGAAATTGCAACAAACACCACAGAAATACTAAGGATCATAAGAAACTATTACAATCAGTTATATGCCAATAAGAAGGACAATGTAGAAGAAATGGACAAATTCTTAGAAAGGTACAATTTCCCAAGACTGAACCAGGAAGAAATGGAAAATATGAACAGATCAATTAATTACCTGTAAGGAAATTGAATCAGTAATTTAAAAATCCAACAAACAAAACTCCAGGATCAGATGGCTTCACAGGTGAATTCTACCAAACATTTAGAGAAGAGTTGACACCTATCCTTTTGAAACTATTTCAGAAAATTGCAGAGGAAGGAACACTTCCAAACTCATGAGGCTAGCATCCCCCTGATACCAAAACCAAAGATACCACAGAAAAAGAAAATCACAGGCCATTATCACTGATGAACATAAATGCAAAAAAATCCTCAATGAAATTCTAGCAAGCACAGCAATTTATACTTTTGAAAATCACAATGTGAACATGAAATTTTAATATCTTGAAAAAAATTGTTGCTATCAAAAACTATATGACCTAGCTTTCAAAAACCTAACACATAGTGTCATGGAAACTTTTGAGTCATGAAAATAAGCCATTTTTAAAAGCAGCAGTCCATTCCTTTTGCTTCATATACTGTTAACAGCAAATATTTTGGATTTGCTCCATAGGCCAGGATTAAGGAGATACTTGAAGGAAATTTTGCTTATTAAGGGTAGTACTTGTAACACACCAACAACCTAAGAAAATTGAATCCACTCCATGATGGCACCAAAAAAGTTCTCACAAAGTCTTAATAATTTGGTAATATGAAAAGATATTTCACGGGTTGCATCATTCAACATATGATAAATTGTTCCTTTAAATAACACCCTTTCTATATTTGCCCAAAAGATTAAAAGCTTGAATCTACCTCCATCTTCCTAATTTTCCTCCTTCCCAGGTGACTCAGAATATTTTGGGAGGAATAAAAACAAAAATCTATACTGGGAAATTGCCTGAAATATTATTCTTACTAACTAGAAAGCTTTTTTACTTTCCAGAGCTGTAAGACTCTTTCTGATAACAAAGCTGTAAAATGGGGTTCAAGGTGTGGTTTATTCAGTTCTTGTAGGGGGTTTCCCTGACTTTATCTTCCAATCCTCTGTTGAATTTGTTTCCACTATCCATGTTTAGTTTCCAAGAGCACTTCCTTTTTATGGTTATTCTTTTATATAGCATGCTGTTCTTGTCTCAAATGGTTCGATAAAGTTCTTTGTACTTTATACACTTGTAACTCAACCATAAGTTGTTTTTAAAATAAATGAATTCAACTGAGTAAAAAAATAATAAACCAGGTTGCACCAGTTATTCCCAGTGCTCTTGTGGATTCCACTGTCCTCAAAAGCCAAAGTTTATGAGCAAGAACAACTGCCAGTCATCCCAAACCACCAACACTCAGATTTATGGTGCAACAAGAGACTGCAAAACAGAGGAACTGTAGGGTGTCTCACCACACAAAGAAAAGGGGACTTGTGGGGAAGGTGGGTGGAGTTTAGGTAGAATTTAAATGAAATAGTTTTGATAGTCTCCAAGCAAAGTAGATATGTGTGAAAAGGCATTAACATCAGATCTGGAGTGAGAAAAGGATGTAGGGTCATGTTTCCTTGAAAACTACAAAGAAAACGTGAAACGTTCTTTTCAGGACCCCCTTATCTGCAGTTCTGTGAGTTGTTAGAAACCGAACCTGCTTCTCTGTCACGAGGTGTCCTAAATCCTGCAGGAAAGAGTAGGATGTTTCATTCTTACTGATACAATTTCAAACAGCAACATTTACGTGTACTTCAACGAAGTGAAGGTTTCATTGTATAAGAATGTAGCAGTCATACAAAGACGAGATATGATACTTTTTAGTTACAGTTTGTCCTTAAAAGAAACTGTTTCCTATTATCGTTACAACTGGCTTCATCTGACACTGTTAATCCATCCTGAGCAGTGGCTGGGCAGATTTTTACTCTCAGAAGTTACAAATAAAAAATACAACTAGGTCCCTCAAACCACAGCTAATCTTCCTCTCAGGACCTCGCTGAAGTTGTGGGTTTGGTTGACCAGCTTTCCTCTCGTTTTGGACCTCAAGCCTTCCTTGAAGTCCGAGGACCTACACAACGGTTCAAGGAGCCACTTCCTCCACGTAACCGTTCAAGCATCCCGCCTTCCCAGGCCACGCTCAGCGCGTAAGGGACGGCTCCGCTCTCTTCAAATCCTATTGGGTAAACCCCACGCCTCGCATCGCACTGGAGGCGGGACAAGAGAGAAAGGACCTTTCCCAGGCGCGAGAAGATGACGTCACAGCAGCGAATCCGGGATCTACGCTCGCTTTGGGCTCTCCGCTTGCTCAAGGTGCCGAATGAAGACCGCTCCGTCCGCGACGCCGTCGCAATGACCATTTGTCAGTTCTTCCTTCAAGGCCGATGCCGCTTTGGAGACCGGTGCTGGAACGAACATCCCCGCGCCGGGGGTGCGGGCGGAGGACGGCAGCAGCAGCAGCAGCCCTCAGGTGACGTTATCCTGAATCCTTCGGCACTAGCGGAACTGGGGAAGGCCTGCGTCGGGACCGGCCAGCGAGAAACGGGCGTCTCTGGTGGGGCCCGCCGCTGGGTACCGCGCCCCGCCGCACAAGTCAGGTGATGCGGCCATGCCCGCGTCGTCCCCTCGCCCCGCCCCGCTCCGCCCTCCGACGTTTGTAATCCGTGTATTGGGCTCTCGGTCGGATTTTGTTGAGCGGGTGAGGACAGGGGTTTGGTCCTGGGTACTAATTCAAAACAGTGACTTTTTAAGTCGGAATTACCTATCAAAACTACCTTGTCCTTGGGTGACAGTGGCTCGGAGAATTAGCGTAGATCAACCGAAATGCCTCTCTTCTTTACTACCTGTCTGGGTACTTGTTTTTTTCCCCTTACCCTTTGAATAGAATTTTTTCTAAACTTCTCTGGGGAGAGAGTCAACTGGGCTCAGAATCAGGACTCTTTGGGGAAGTCGTGAACTCCTTTGAAAATCTAATAAAAGCTACAGAGCCATACCTCAGATAAATGCACATACTTAAAAATTTGGGTAAGATCAGGAGAGTGAGATGCCCAATTAAGAACTCTGGGCTATAAGGGAAAGTGGGTGGAAGGGTACGTTGACCTGCTCCCTGGGTCTAAGTCATTGTCGAGGCTTTTGGACTCTTTCACTAAACCAATTGTGGATGGTGTAAAAAGACTGTCTTTGAGGAGAGGAGGGGTCTGACATGAAACTGTAAGTGCAAGGTTTTAGAAGTGAGATTAATAGTTAGGTTTTCTTAGGATTGGAACTTAGTCCTTAAAGGTATCACAAGATACTGACCACGTCTCCCCTCACTTTCCTCCTTAGGGCTATTCGTCTGACCCTTAAACCTTGTGTTGCATTGTGATTTCATGTCTGATCCCTCTTCTGGAAGATAGTTTTCTTGCATCACTCACAATTGGTCTTGTGAAATATTCGAAACCCAAAGTTAGGACTCAGGATCTGATAAATGTGAGTGTATTTCCAGGAGCAACAATACGTAATAGTTGACATTCTGTGGAGACTCACTCTAATGTAGTCATTAGAAAATAAATGTTGGATGGATAGATTGATGAATTTTAAAAGTGTAAATAAAACTCATCAAGTGAACAGTGTATTTAGCACCAAGATACAAATGAATGCTGAAGGAATTAATACGTATGAAGGCTGAACTCTATATAGGAAGGATGGAATTAATTTCTTCAGTTGTATCATCCCTGCAAAGGATTTTGCTAGAAAAATAAAATATCATTAACTCTAACTTGAAGGATCTGGTCTAGCAGTCTTCTCCCATCTCTCTTTGGTTTTGTTAAGTAGTTTTAGAGTTGGGAGATGAATTTTTTATAGGGGAATATATCTCCTATCACTCCATTTTTTAATATACATATTCGATGGCATATCTCTTAATTCAGTCAGAAACAAGGTCCATTATCTCAGTCCCAACTAAGAAGTGATGAGTAAATAAGATAGCTGAAGTGATAAGATTTTTTTTAAATATAGAGACAGGAGAGAGTCCTGTTGGCTCATTTTGATGGTTATAAAATCTTAGAAATCAGCTCATAATAGAGGGACTCAACACACTTTGTTCATATGTAAATTACCTCTATAATCTTATAAAAGGCAGGTAAGTAGATATTGTTTTCTTAGAGGGAAGACTGAGTCAAATAGATTTAAGCATCTATTCAAGAACAGAGGGTAGAAACTAATCTTTAATATTCAACAAACTCCTTAATACATTGTACACTTTTCAGATTTTACTACTGTATATGGCCCAGTTGGGAAGCAGAGAATGATAAAGATATAGATTTTTATTCTGAAGGAACTCATGACTGAGGATACATGTCATCTATCCACTTCAATATCAAACAGTTGTTTACTTAATAAGTTTATGTCAGCTAAATTTTGTAATATGTCATTTTTCTATGGATTTACAGTTCTCTCAGTCTTGTTAAGTTAGACCATTCTGTGATTTGTTGATAATACACTTAACTATATAAATTGAAAATGAAGAGTTTTGTAACTTATAATGAGTGGAATTGTAGTGCTTGTTGAATCTTGCATAATGTCTGCAAATAATAAGATAAAAAAATAATGAAAATTTTCAAGATTAAAAAGGGAGTTGGTAGTAAAATTATTTATTTTATTTCCTTCAGGTAGTAACAGACGTGGATGGAATAACACCAGCCAGAGATATTCCAGTGTTATCCAGCCATCCAGTTTCTCCAAATCTGCACCATGGGGAGGCAGCAGAGATCAAGAAAAACCATCTTTTGGTTCTTTTGATTCTGGAGCTTCAACTAGCAGGAACAGGGGGTTTGGATTGTCTCAGAACCCATTTGCTTCACCTAGCTCTGATGAGCAGAAAGATGAAAAGAAACTTCTGTAAGTGAAAACCTTCAGAAAAATTACTACCTATTTGCTTATTTTTTCAACAGTACCTACAATATTTTCTTTAAAAAAGAAGTAATATTATTATTATTTTAATTATTAAAAAAATCAGAATAAGCAAAAAGAAGACAAAGCATCCATGATCAGAGATGACCACTATTTTGCATGTAATGTAATAGACTTTATTTCACTTAAAAATGTCATCTTTCTGTATCAGTACAGTGCCCTCTTAGGGCTAATTATGCTTTTCCCATTTTTCTATTGATAACACCATATTGTGAATATCTTTATAAGGCAGCCCTGCTCAAATCTGATGCAAATTATGAGTTCTTAACAAAGTATGAGGTGATTTAAGGTAACTTGTGATCTTGGAGTTCACTTACAGCATCTTTTCTTTTTCTTTCTAAAACTTTTACTTCAATTGCCTCATGCAAACTGATTTCATTTGATTTTCTTCATTATTGTGGAGTAGATTTCTTATAATTTATTGAGAACATTCGTGGTAGAATTTATGACTGGTGCCAAAACAGTGCCTGGCTGTCTGTAACTATTCCTCAGCTCCCAGCTCCTAGGACAGAACTTATATATACTTATTAATCTTTTATAGCCCATAACCAAATTAGGACTAGTTGTAAATATTTTGAGCCATGTACCATATACAATTGGTTAAAATAAATAAATGAAATTTAAAAATAAACAAAACCCTCCTTCCTATATTCAAGGTTGTTGTAAAAATTCTAAATTTTATTATTATGATCTTATTATCAATTATTATTCTTATTTTATTAATTTTACCATTCTAGAATGGGAGGATATATTTAATTTAGAGCTGAATCTATCCATGACTTTGCCAACAAATCAACTATATGAACATGGATTTGTTTCCCTTTTTGCAAAATGTGAGAATTAGACAAAATATCTTTAAATATTTTGTGGTTCTTTATTACTTACTGCTTTTATGATAATGAACAAAGAAAGATTAAAATTCGTGTTGTGTGTTTTCCTGTATTTTAGTTCAAGATATGTATGCTATGATAGTTCTCACTTAATAAAGGTGTTGGTGGAGGTTGGGTATAGCTCAATCATAGAGTACATACTTAGCATGCATGAGGTCCTGGATTCAATCCCCAGACCTTCAATTTAAAAAAAAAAAATTTTTTTTTTAATAAATAGAAAAAAATGTATTGGTTAACATTCCCTTGTACTGGAAAACCAAAATTATTAATTTCTTTGATATTGTAATATTTATAATCATGAAATGTAGCTCATTTTTATAAGCTTCTGCTCTAAAGAACATTCTTCAGAAAGTAAAATGGGAAAATCTAAAATTATATATTTACTGCAATTTAAAATTTCAATCATTGTAAATTATAAATTTTTACAAGAAAAAAAGATCTTTTTTTTTTTTTTAATTCAGGGAAGGAATTGTAAAAGATATGGAGGTTTGGGAATCATCAGGACAGTGGATGTTTTCTGCTTATTCACCAGTGAAGAAGAAACCTAATATTTCAGGTAATTGAGAAATTGTGTGTGTTTTTAAATATGTTTTACAATTGTTATTTTCTAAAACCAAGACTATGTCAAATAAAGAAATTAACCACAAACTTAGCTACAGTAGGAGATTTTGGACATTGTTTAAAGCAGAACTTCATAATTCAGAGATTAAGGTTGGAAGATACAATTCTTTTAAGATACATAGATCCCTTGAGAAAATAGTAAAATAACCCCCCCACACACACACACACATTTTCAATACTGAAGTGCAAGAATAGGCTCTGCTTTCTTGGTTCGCTGTAGATAGAACTTCAGAATCCCTTAGCTGCCTGATTCTGTTCTCTTTCTTCTCTATCTTTTTTTCTAAGGTTAGTTATTTTTTATAAAACTTATTGAGAAGTATCCTAAAGATAATATTTGAAGGTAAGGAGCCTTAGCTGGGCTATAGAGATAGCATTTCTTTAGAATACCCCTTTCCTTCCCATTTTCTTTTATCCATAGCCCTTTTTGGGCTGAAAGCTAGATCACCACACTTTTCTAAGCCCATTCTGGCTGGTCCTGGACCCTGTTAAGTGAACAATGGGAACCTAGAAGATGAGAGCCCTTTCAGTCCCTGAGAACTCTGGGATATCTGTCTGTCTCAGCTCTACCTGCTCATTATCTGTGTGCATTTGTGTCCACCACTCCTTAGTTGTTTATTCTCTTAATCATTCAACAAATACTTACTGAATTTCTTTTGTTCCAGACCCTATTTAAAGTGCTTAGGAAATAGTGATGAGTAAGACAAACGATTCCTCCCTTAAGAAGTTTATTTTCTTGGGAGAGAGGCAATAAGTAATAGAAATAAATAAGATAATTTTAGATAGTGATTTTTTTCTAAAGATACTAAGTATTAAGCCTTTTTTTTTTTTTCATCAATTCACAATTGAACCTAATGCCTTACATCCTAAAGCAATGATTCTCAATTTGGAATGTAGATTCCTAAGCAGGGTTGCCAGATAAAATATGGGACACTCAGTTAAATTTCAGATAAACGAAGAGTAATATTTTTAATATATGAATATCCCATGTAGCATTTGGGACATACTTATACTAAAAAAGTATTTGTTGTATGTTGGAAATTCGGGTTTAACTGGGCGTACATTAGTAGTATTTGCTAAGTCTGGCAACCCTATCCCTGAGATCCTTTTAGGGGCTGTAGGAGTTCAGAAGTATTTTCACAATAATACCAAGACATTAATTGCCACTTTTACTGTGTTGACATTTGCACTGTTGATGCAAAAGCAGTGATGAGACAGAGACAACAAACTGTACTAGCAGACCGTAGTCTATAAAAAACTTTCCTAATGCCATTTTCACTTAAAAATGTTTTCGATAAAGAGGTAAAAATTTAAAAATTACTAGTTTTATTAAATTTTGATCTTGAAGTACACACCTTTTAAATATTCTATGTGACAAAATGAGAAGGATACGTAAAGTAACATTAACAAATACGCATTTTTTAATATTGTAAGATGACATATGCCTGCATTTAGAGGTTCTGGATAACTCAGTGAACCAGTGTTTTCCAAATAACCAATGTATGATGTTACAAAATTATGAATAGTTGAAAAATCCATTCTAAGTGCAAGATAAACCACTGCATTTAATGTAAAAGTATACAAAGTTATTAATGTGATTTGACTTCACATTGTAACTAACCTTTAAGAAACCACCACCTGTCAGGTTTTGGTATAGTATCAAAGAAGAATATCCACAATTATCTGAAAAGGGCATAAAAGTCATCCTTTCCCAGCTACACATCTGTGTGAGAAAAGATTTTCTACATACACTTCAACCAGGCAATGTATTGCAACAGATTGAAGCAGATTGAATAGCAGAAGGAGATAAAATAATCCAGCAGTCTTCTATTAAGCTGAACATTTAAGAGGTTTACAAACATAAAACAATACCGCTCATATCACTAAGTTTTTTTTTTTTTTAGGTTTTTTTTTAGTGGGGGCCAAGGTAATTAGGTTTATTTATTTAATTATTGTATTATTAGTAGTATTTTTTAGTGGAGATACTGGGGGTTTAAACCTAGGACCTCGTGCATGCTAAGCATGGGCTCTACCACTTCAGCAATACCCTCCCCCCTCATATCTCTCCATTTTTATTTTTTGTTTTGGAAAATAATTTTCTCATTTATGTTGATATATAATTGATTTCTTATTTTTAAGTGAATTAGTATTTTCTACATTTTCAGTTATCATTTCAAATATGGTAAATACCAATATATGTAACCCATGTAAGCAAAAGCTCTGGGATCCTTAATAATTTTTAAGAATGTGAATGGATCCTGAGACCAAAAAGTTGGAGAATCACTGTCCATAGGCATCCCTTATAATGAGTTAACTTATCCTTTCCTGCTTAAATGATTCTGCTTTTGCACCACCCTTGAGAGAATTGAGGAAATAATCACTCAAATCATTTTCTGTCTTCGTGGTTCAAATGAGTAACAGCTGAAAGGAGGAGAAAGTAACCAGACAGAAAGTGTTTCTTTACCTGGAGTGATTATCCATTCTGAGGAAGCAGAATAGGAGCTGAGTCCTGAATGAAGAGAAGATTTGGGGGAAAATATTCCTGGCAATACAGTAGCTAGTGCAAAGGCCCTGGGGATAACAGGGTTGGCATGTTTGAGGACTAGTGAGGCCTGCATTGCTGGAGGAGAATAAATGAGAGAAAGAGTGATATGACATAAGTCCAGAAAGGCAGCCAGGCTATTTGCTTTTCAATTTTTGTTTATTTTAGTTTCTGACATACAGAATATCTTTTTTTAGAAGTTTGAAAGTATATGTAGTCAACTCCTTCTTTTTATTTTCTTTATTCCTTCCATGCCATTTATCATTAGAAACTTTTCCTCCTTCAAGATTAACTAACCAACTATATTTTATTCTAATTTTATACTTTATTGAATAGAGTGTAGGCTTTGAAATTTTTCTAATGATCACCATTAGCATATTTTCCTATCTAGCACCTCTCGTTTTACTCTACTATCAAAAGTACTGGTTTTTAAAGATTCCAATTGATTCCTCACTTCAGGTTTTACAGACATTTCACCAGAGGAGTTGAGACTTGAGTACCATAACTTCTTAACCAGCAATAACTTACAGAGTTATGTAAGTTTGTTTCCTATTCATCTATCTAACAGATTAGTCATTATTATCTTTTCTGCAGTAGCTTTCTTGTGTGTTGGCAAAATGGTCGAGGTCCATAATTTTTTTCAGAACAGGGCTATTTTATTTTCTAAATTACTTTCTTTGAAATTTGGTTGGTTATCTAAAATGGTGATAGTATACTTTGACTGTAGTAACTAGGAATGTCATTATTTTTATTACCAATTATCCAGCAATCAGTCCCAGAAATCAAACCCTTTCATCATTTGACAAACATTTATGAAGCATATCTTAGGTGCAGACACCATGATGAATGCTAGAAAAACAAAGTTAAATAAGATGCAGTCTGTTATACAGATTAACATTCTCACATATCAAATATCAAAAAAATTAAAAAGCTGGGCTTGTATAAGTTTGGTGCCTAAAGGAAATGACATAAACTATATTTTCTATTGTCTACAGTCAGTGTCAGGCATTTCAACTAGTACACATGTTCATCTCCTATCCAAATATAACTAACTTTATGCTGCCAGGTACTTGTGATCTTAATTAGATGATACAAGGAGTTGGAGAACAGGGTGAGGGGACCACAGCTGGAATATCTTTGGCAAGTAGGGGTAGGTCAGTGCAAATTTTACAAGTTATGGTCCATAAAAATGTTTTACAAAACTTGTGACTTTGGACGTAAAGACATGAAGTTGTTGTTGGAGAAAGTAACTTAAAAATACTCGGTAATGACTCATTATTTTTCTGTTTTCTCTCTTCAGCTAAATTCCATCCAACAGTTAATAAATCAATGGAGGAACAGGGTAAATGAACTGAAAAGTCTAAATACATCAACTAAAATAGCTTTGGTGAGTAAGTACTGAAGAATTTTCTACAGGGAGGTGTCTTATTTATTGCTTTTTGCTGAGAATTTTCATTTTGGATTTGGAAAGCAAAGCTAAAATTCTCTGTCAAGAATTATAATGCACACATTCTCAAAAACTATATTATCATTTAGAGTCAAGGTTCTGGAATTGCTTTCTCTCTCTTCCTCAGTCAGAAAAACGCAGATAATTATGCTTTTCTAAAACTGTTTCTAGGATGAAATTTTAACGTTTGGTGGTAGTAGTTTTGAAAATTACAAAATAATATGTAAATTCAAGTGTTCTAGGTTATCAGCATTTAGAAAGAAATTCCCTCAAAAAAATGATATGAATGCACATTTAGACTAATGCTACCTTTTGTGACTAAAGGACACTTACCATATGCTCCTTGCCTTATACAGAAATGCCTTTAGGAGATATCCAAAAATACATGCTTCTACTGTAGCATATTCATTATCTCTGTCAATAAAGTTGATCTTTCTACCCCATAAAAAGTTCTTAAGAACATTACTTTAAGATATTTACATTTAGAATTTAGTATTTCCAGTTTCCTAGGTGGTTTTTCTTTCTACTTTCTGAAAAAGGCTATGAGAGTAGTAGCTGCCTAAACTTAGTGACTTCGTGAAAGTCCTAACACCCTATTCCTTTCTTAAATATGTGCTTGTAAGTAACTAGACTCTTGTGCAAGCTAATTTCTCCCATCTTTCAGTTGTTGTAATGCCATTTGAATTTAGTAGGACTTCTTGGAAGTATTCTGTCCTTAGATGAGAAGTGGTCCACATCACCATTGCTGAGAGCTGACGTAGAAGGGATAATTGAGTGGAAAGAACTACAGAGCTTCCTTCAAAGTTGGAAGTTCCATGTTCTTTGCTAGTTTCCTAGGGACCCCTTTGTAGGTGAGGATCTTGGACAGCACACCTACAACTGGCTTAGCATGTATCAGTATTTTGTTCTTTATGCTGAGTAGTTCATTCTTTATACTTTTAATCCATTATATAGATTTTATGTAATTTGTTTATCCACATACCTGTTAATGAATACTAAACTGAGGGAAAGAAGCTAGATTAAAAAAAAAAGAATACATACTGTATGATTCCATTTATATGAAATTCTAGAAAAGACAAACCTCATATATAGTTAATATAAAGTAGATGAGTGGTTTTCTGTGGCCAGGGTTTGGGAGAGGTTTGACTGGAAAGGGACATAAGGGAACTTTTATGAGTGATGGAAATATTCTAAATCTTGATTATGGTGGGTATAAGTTTGTCGAAACTCACTGAAATATAGATAGATAGTTTTTTTTAATAGATGCATTTTATTGAATGTAAACTATACCTCAGTAAAATTGATTTTTTTTAAAATGTGATTGAGGCTTCCAAACGAGAGAAATCATATCTGCTTGGGTTGATTAGGAAAGGTTTCTTGGTGGTCAGGAGTAAGGGAAAAGTTACTTGAAAAGGAAATTAAGATTTCAGTAAGCAGAGATGAAAGACATTTCTAGAGCAGGAGATAGTAAGAGCATAAAATATTTTCAGGGAATAAATAAGAAATGTTTAATAGATTTTAGTAGTATGCTTTTAATAATGTAATTGTGAATCAACTTCAGTTTAGGCATTACTGTAAGTAGACTGGGTAGCCTTTAAAGGTCCCTTACCTAATATCTAGGTTTCTTGGTAAATGCAGATCAACCTGTAGACACTAAAATGTGTTATTTAAAAGTATTTTTCTTTGCATATGTTCATTGAAGAAATGTAGAACATGTTTAAAAAGCATAAATAAAATTAAAATTACTCATAGTTTATGAGTCAATCACTCAACTCATTGAGATTTGTCCATTTTTTTCTATGCATATTCATTTTTGAGCATTTTTCTGTTTTAAACAGTTAACTTCACAATTTTAAGTGCACATTTTAAAAATTGATTTTGGCTATAAAGTGTATACAAAAGGTACTTGAGAATTATTCATTTGCCTCCTTTTTTTTTTAATAGCTCTCTGATGTAAAGGATGGAGTAAATCAAACGGCACCTGCATTTGGATTTGGCAGTAGGCAAGCAGTGACATTTGGGTCACCAGGTAAATGATAAAGTAATGCAGGACTTTACTGATTTAGAAAAATAAGATTTTATGGGTTTCACATCATAAAGTCTGAAGGCTTGTTAAGTGCTATTTTAAATCATCCTTACAAATTATACCATCTTCCATAATAGAACTTCAAAGAATTTGGCTCTTCAAATATTCACATTATAGGGGTCCCAGAAAGAGAAGAGAAGGAATTTGAGAAAAATTTTGAAGAGATAATAACCGAAAACTTCCCTAACTTGGGAAAGGAAACAGTCACCTAAGTCCAGGAAGCACAGAGTTCCACACAGGATCAACCCAGAGAGGAACACACCAAGGCACATAGTAATCAGCTTGACAAAAATTAAGGATAAGGAGAAAATATTAAAATTAGCAAGAGAAAAGCAACAAATAACATACAAGGGAACTCTCATAAGGCTATCAGCTGATTTTTCAGCAGAAACTCTACAGGACAGAAGGGAGTGGCAAGATATATTTAAAGTGATGAAAGAGAAAAACTTACAGCCAAGAATAGTCTATCCAGCAAGGCTCTCATTCAGATTTGATGGAGAAACCAAAAGTTTCACAGATAAACAAAAGCTAAAAGAATTCAGCACCACCAAACCAGCTTTACAACAAATGTTACAGGAACTTCTCTAGTCATCAAATCATAAGAAAAAAGAACAAAAAGAAGAAAGAGGAAAAAAAAGACTACAAAATATTTCTTTGGCAATTCAGGGTCTTTTATGGTTCCATAAGTATTTTGGAATTGTTTGTTCTAGCTCTGTGAAAAATGTCATGAGTATTTTGACAGGGGTTGCATTAGATCTGCAGATTGCTTTGTGTAGTACAGCCATTTTGATAATGTTGATTCTTCTAATCCAAGAGCATAAGATATCTTTCCAATTCTTTGTATCATCTTCAGTTTCCTTCATCAATGTTTTACACTTTTCAGAGTGTAGGTAACCTCCTTAGTTAAATTTATTTCTAGGTATTTTGTTGTTTTTGATGCAATGGAAATGTTTATGTCAGTTATAAAATTCTGGTTTTTGAAATTTAGAAAAAGTGACTGAAGGGCCAAAAACAAAACAAAACAACAGCAACAACAACAACAAAAAACAAAACAAAAAAAAGAATTTGGCTCTTTGAGCATTTGTGAAATGAGGGCTAGAATGGGCATGTTCTTTGAAAGACCCTATGGCTCAGGCTTTAGAAGTATATTTTTGGAATAGTTTTTCAAGAGTTTCATAGGAATACATAACTATGGTACCGGCACCTTTAAGGACTTTTTTGTCCCTGTGTATAATAGTATAGTATTGTTCTTCAGTGACAGCGCCAGTAAGATGGGGGGACAAGCTGGAAGTGAAGATTCACTCCCTAATACCTGGGGTTTCTCAAGAGCTACTCTTGAGTAAAGGTAAATTACAGTGCAAATGAGATCAGTGTAGCAGAAAGGTAGGACAGCAGGAGTTAGTGGTTGTAGCTTCTTGTTTTCACTTTTGTCTTCTCTTCGTCCTTCCAACAAGTTTCTCATCATCAAAACATGGCAGAAATAAGGCAAAAAGAGGGGAGGAGATAGTAATATGGCTACAGTTTCTGACATTAATAGATTCTTTTTCTCTTTCTCTGGTTTTTATAGGTTTTCCAATGAATAATAATAGCAGTGATAATGCTCAGAATTTTAGTTTTAAACCAAGCTCTGGGTTTGCCACTGCCCTTGCTGGAAGCCCTTCTGTGTTCGGGAGTGCTCCGGCATTTGGAGCCGCACCCTCTGCCAGTTCTGCCGTCACAACGTCTGCTCCAACTTTTGGGCGTGGTAAACACGAAATCACGTCTGCTGCTTCATTTTCATTTAAAAGCCCTGCAGCTTCTGGTTTTGGATCATCTGGATTTTCAGGATTTCCAGCTTCCATGGCAGCAGGCCCTATTGGAGCTCCAGTGGCCCCAGCCTTTGGAAGTGGCAGTTCTGTGGCTGGTTTTGGTAGTCCAGGCTCACATTCTCTTACTGCTTTTTCCAAGTCATCTGGTGACACTTTTGGAAATAGCAGCATATCCACCTCCCTCCCAGTCTCAAATGGTAGCACCACAACAGATAATGTATTATTCACACCCAAGGATCAACTAACAGCAGAAGAACTGGAACAATTTCAATCCAAGAAATTTACTCTGGGAAAAATTCCATTAAAGCCACCACCTGTGGAACTTCTAAATATTTAAAAGGGCACTGTTAAATACAGACAAGAACAGCTTTTAAAATTGCTTCGAGTGGTTCATATGAAAGAACAAATATATACATATACACACATATGTGTGTATATGTATATATGTGTGTATATATACACAAGTATATACATATATATATTTATAAGAAATGTAAACTTTCAGCAATAATATTAATGTAACATTTTTTTTCTTGAGCCTAACTATTTAAGTAAAATATAACAAAAAGTACTCAGGAACAGATTTTTTTTAACTATAATTATGAATGGAACTGAAAAAACTATCAGTGTGCACTGAATAAAGTACTCTTCTCATTCTACATCACTTTACTGTCTTACCCTTTAAAGTTTTACCTTTAAACATTTTTTTAAGGAAGGAGACAATTTCTAGAGCCAGTAGGGAAATATTTAGCCAACTTATTGAATAAACATCAGTAACATGACTTTCCTCCATGTTGAAGATGATTCTCTTAAAGAGAGAAATAAAATTTTTTAAAGGGTGAAAAATTAATTTTTTCAGGAACTTGAAGGCATTTTTCCCTCATAATTTTTTCCCCTCAGTTTTGGCTGTTTCATGGACCATATGAGTTTTCTTCAACAATTTTAGGCTAATTTTTATCTTAAGCTGATTTTTATCTTGGCCTAATTTTTATGTAATTCTTTTTATTCCTCACAGTATCCCATCAAGTGGATGGCTAGTAACAGGAATAGAAATTGTGATCTCATGTGAATAAATAGTGTATGTAGAGGGGTCAGGTTTCACCAGCTGTTTGTAGAGTTTCTATTAGAATTCTCAGAGGTGCTTGGATCTCCCTGTGTCCTTAGATTGAGGGAGTAATATCTTGTGTATCTGATTGATCCAAGTAATCAAAGAGCTGTCATGAACTGAGGCATATGTGTCAGAGTTGTGTGCTGCTTTCTCAAGTCTCAAAAATCACACAGCACTACGAGAAGAGTTACCTAACATAGATCTGGTATTGAACTGATTTTAAGTGAAAAATAAATCTTTAGCTAATAAAAGGTAAGCACTCCACATGATTTTAGTGTAAATGCAAAGGATTCAGTCCTCAGGGGACCTGGATTGTCACGTTTTTTGAAAAACTGAATTACTCTCAGTTCTGGAACCCCAGCATTTGGAATAGAATCTACCCAAGGTGTGTATGTCTGAAACCATCCTTGTAGAGATAAGTTCCTGCTTTGGTGTCAAGCTCTAAAGACTTTCCAGTGTTGTTTTTTTTCAACTTACAGTTAACTCCTAGAGTCCTCCTACCCTGATGGAATGAACCCTGTGCTACCTGTAAATTGGTTACAGACTTATCAGCCTCCCTTGGGTCCCAAATAGATTTCTCAATGTCCTGGAAGCTCTGAGGATGCAGGTTAAGGGCCCAGTGTTTCTAAATTTGCCTGATTATAAGAATCATTTGAAGTACTGATTAAATAATATATCCAGAATAATATATCCATTGGGCTCGGCCTGGGAATATGTTTTCTACCAAGCATTTCATGAGATCCTTCAGGCAAATTTTGGAAATGAGCCCATCCAGTTGCATTTAGGCAACTTAAGTAATATGCAATTTGCGAGTTTCTGTATAATCATTGGAAGTCTGTTTTCTATGCTTGCACACACACACACAATGTGGTTAATGAGCAAGGGACAGAATTGCACATAAAGTTTTATAACAAGTAAACGGATTTAACTAGCTTGATTATTTGATCACAGATTAAAATGGGAGAAATGTAACAGCTGAAAGCTGATTAGAAGGGGAGAGAGAAAACAAACTGATATTAAAACTATATAAAATCCATGACATGATTTAGCTATACAGTATTCATAAGAGTAAAATAATTCAATCCAGTGTCCAACAGGAAATTGATTAATTGTGGTAGATTCATTTATTGGAATACTAAACAGCCTTTCTAAATGACCTAGAAGAATAGAGAATAGCTTGGAAAGGTTTGCATTCTGTAGTCAATGAGCAAAAGCTTCTTATAAAATAGCATGCACAATGTGGTCCAGTTTGAGGGGAAAGTGTATATTCATGGGAGAAAAAAGCCTGAAAGTTTATAATGGCTCAGATGGGTTTTTCTTTTAATTGTGCTTAAAGAAAAAAAAAACTTAAAATTTACTATTTTAACCATTTTTAATTGTATAGCATTCAGTAGCATAACATTCACATTATTATGCAACAGATCTCAAACTGTTTCATCTTGTCATCCTGAAACTCTATACCCACTGAACATTACTTCTCCCTCCCTCCTTTCTGCAGTGCTTGGCAATCAGATTTCTACTTTCTGTTTCCACGATTTGACTATTCTATTTATCTGTCTTTATGCCAGTACCATACTGTCTTAATTAGTGTTGCACTCTAGTAGACTTTGGAATCAGGAAATGTGAGGCCTCTATCTTTATTCTTCTTTTTCAAAATTGGTTTGGCTATTTGGAATACCTTGAAATTCCATATGAATTTTATGATTTTATTCTACTTCTGCCAAAAGAAAAAAATTGCCACTGGGATTTTGATATGGATTGTATTGAATCTGTACATTGCTTTGGGCAGTATGCACATTTTACCAATATAAGTGTCCCAAACCATAAGTGCAGTATGTCTCCATTTATTTGTATTTCTTTTAGCAATGATTTATAGTCTTTCACCTATTTGATTAAGTTTATTCCTATGTATTTTGTCCATTTTGATGCCGTAGTAAATGGGATTGTTTTCTTAATTCCCTTTTCACATTAGTCATTGTTAGTGTATAGAAATGTAACTGATTTCTGTGTGTTGATTTTATATCCTGCTACTTTGCTGAAATTATTAATTGTAACAGATTTTGTGGCGTGTGTGTGTGTGAAGTCAGTTTTCTACATATAAGATCATGTAATCTGCAATCAGAGATAATTTTACTTCTCCCTTTCCAATTTGGGTGCCTTTTATTTCCTTTTCTTGTCTCACTGCTCTAGCTAGGACTTCCAGTGCTATGTTGAATAGTAGTGAAGAGAGGGGGCATCTTTGCCTGGTTCCTGATCTTAAAGGAAAACCTTTCAGTCTTTCATGGTTGAATATGATGTTAGCTGTGAGCTTTCATATATGAGTTTTATTATGTTGAGGTAGTTTCCATCTATTCTTGGTTTTTTTAATCGCTTTTATCATGAAAGAGTGTTGGTTTTGTCAAATGCTTATTCTGCATTAGTTGAGATGATCATGTAGTTTCTGTCCTTCATTTTGTTAATGTTGTGTATTATATTGATTGATTTTCATATGTTGAACCATCTTTCCCACACTCATGACCTAATTTATACCTAATTATCTCCCAAAGACCCCACCTCCAAATACCATCACATTGGTTGTTAGGACTTCAACATAAAAATTTGGGTGAGGGGACACAAATATTCAGTTGGTTTTATTGACTTTTTTCTATTGTTTCTCTATTCTCTATTTCATTTACCTCTGCTCTGATCTTTATTATTTCTTCCATTCTTCTAAACTTGGGTTTAGTTTGTTCTTTTTCTATTTCCTCAGGTATAAAGTTAGGTTTATTGAGATGGTTCTTTTTTAATGCAAACATTTATCTCTATAAAATGACTCTTATCACTGCTTTTGCTATATCCCATAAGTTTTGGTATGTTGTGTATTTTTATTTGTTTCTAGATATTTTCTAAATTCCCTTGTAATTTCTTCTTTGATCCATTGGTTGTTTAAGAGTATATAGTTTAACTTCTTTATATTTGTGGGTTTTCCTTCTGCTGTTGATTTCTAGTTTCATTCCATTGTGGTCAAAGAAGATAGTTTGTATGATTTCAATCTTAAATTTGATAAGACTTGTTCTGTGGCCTAACTGGTGGTCTACCCTGGAGAAAATGCATGTGCACTTGAGAATAATACATATTCTGCTACTGTTTGGTGAAGTGTCTATATGTGTCCATTAGGTTCAGTTTTTCTACAGTGTTGTTTTAGTCTTCTATTTCCATATTGACCTGTTTGGTTATTTATTCATAACTGAAAGTGGAGTATTGAAGTATCCTACTATTATTGTGTTGCTGCCCATTTCTCCCCTCAGTTTTGTCAGTTTGCTTCATATATTTGGGAGTTCTAGAGTGAGGTGCGTGTACATTATAATTGGTGAATTGACCCTGTTATACAATGCCCTTCTTTGTCTTGTATGATAGTTTTTGTCTTAAAGTTTATTTTACCCAGGAGCAGGGGGAGGTTAGCAGTTATATGGGGGATTGGCATCAGGTTGGCTCATCCATTACCAGGGAAACTAGCAGAGGGACACAACCCTCACCGCCCTTTGGCAAGCTATCGTAGTGAAGATGTTCTGATCTAAAGCTAGAACAATCATTAGCTAGGGCCTGGGACAAGTATGAGGAAGGTCAGTTGTGTGAGTAAGTGTAGGTGAAGCAGACATTAGTCAAGCAGGGGATGTACAGAGAGCAAGAGAACAGTCATCGTGTGTAGCCTAATCACACAGTGTGTCTCTAGATCTATTGAATGTCTGTTATAGACAGTATATTTGTTGGATCTTGTCTTTTATACATTCAGCCAATTGGTGTTTTTTAATGGGTACATGTAATTCATTAACATATAAAGAAATTACTGACAGGGAAGGACTTACTATGGCCCATTTTGTTCATTGTTTTCTGTATATTTTATAACATTTTTGCCCCTCTTTTCTTCCTGATGCCTTGCTTTGTGTTTTGCTGATTTTTTTGTAGTGGCATATTTTGATTCCCTTCTCATTTTACTTTGTGTATATTCTATAATTTCTCTGCAATTACCACTGTAATTACATAAAATGTCTTAAGTTGTAATAATATATTTTAAACTGATAACAATGTAACCTCAATCACATATAGAAACTCTATTCGTTTACAGCTCTGCCTCCCCCACTTTATGTTATTGAGACTCAAATTACCTCTTTTAATATTGCATATTTATTAATACAGATTTATAACTACTTTTTATTCTTTTGTTTTTAAAATTCTATATTAGATTTAAAAGTGATTTCTGCACCTGTGTTACAGCACTACATAATTTTCTATTTGTCTATGTATTTACCTTTATCAAGGAGTTTTATATTTTTGTATGGTTTTGGTTGCCGTTTCTCATCCTTCTGCTTTAACTTGAAGGACTCCTTTCAGTATTTTTTTTTTTCAGCCAGTTTGATTTTTATTGACACCACAGTGCTCAGGCCTTGACCACATGCTTCCACAGTGGGCACAGCCATTCCTTCCAATCCTGCTTCTTGGCCTTCAGGCTCCTCTTATGCTTGTTGAGCTGGCAGTGGAAAGCACGTATTTTCTTGGGCTGCAATTCCGGGGGCTTGTGCTTCTTGCCCTTGTAGAATTTCCTGAGGTTCTCTTTCTGAGTCTGGCTAATGGTGGTGAGAACACAGGCAATGGATTTGCAAACAACTCAGATCTTAGAGAGTTTGGATGCTGCACAACCTATCACTTTGGAGACATGTAGCTGGGAGAGCTCCACCTTCAGGTCATCATGGCAACTCCTCCTTCTTCTTGCCTAAAGGGCTCAAGCCTTAATCTTGGCCTTGGCTGCAATAGCTGCCACCTCTGCTACCTGCCCTGAGGGAAAGAGCCCATCAGCATTTCTCACAAGGTAGGTCTAGTGGTAATAGTTTCCTTCAGCTTTTGTTTATCTGGGAAAGTCTTAATTTCTCCTTTGTTTTTAAAGGATGGTTTTGCTGGATATAGTATTTTGGGTTAGCACTTTTTTCTTTCAGTACTTTGAATATATCCTCCCACTCCCTTCTAGCCTGCAAGGTTTCTGCTGAAAAATCTTCTGGTAATTTAGTAGGAGCTCCCTTGTACATGACAAGTCACTTTCTCTTTCTGCTTTCAAGATTCTCTTTGTTACTTTTGACAGTTTGATTATGATGTGTCTTGGTGTAATTCTCTTTAGATTTATCCTAGTTGGAGGTTTTTGAGTCTTCATAAATTTGTATTTCCATTTCCATTCTCAGATTTGGGAAGTTTGGGGCCAATATTTCTTTAAATAGGGTCTCTACCCCTTTCTTTTCTTTCCTTTTCTTTCCTTCCTCCCTTCCTTCCTTCCTCCCTTCCCTCCTTTGTTCCTTCCTTCCTCCTTTCTTTCTTCCCCTTCTTTTCTTTGACTTCCATAATGTATATGTTGTTCTGCTTGATGGTATCCCATAAGTCCTTTATGCTTTCTTCATTTTCTTCAGTGTTTTTTTTTTTTTTCTTCTTTTTGCTCCTCTGTCTCAGTAATTTTGAAAGTGCTATCTTTGAATTCACTGATTCCTGGCTAATCAAGTCCAATGTTGAGTCCCTCTAGTGAATTTTTTAGTTCAATTATTATTTTCATTTCCAGAATTTCTGTTTGATTCTTCTTCATAGTTTCTGTCTTTGTTGATATTCTCATTTTTCCCATGCATTCTTTTCCTGACTTCATTTAGTTGTCTATATGTGCTTTTTTTTTTAAATCATTGAGTATCCTTATGATGGTTATTTTGAATTTTTTGTCTGGTGACTCATATGTCTTCATTCCTTTAGGATCAGTTTTAGAAGATTTAGTTTGTTTCTTTAAATGGGCTGTGTTTCCTTCTTTCTTTGTATGTCTTGTTATCTTCTGTTAGAATTTTGGCATTTGAAAAATAAGCTATCTCTCTCAGATTTTTCAGTATGATTTCATACTGGGGAAGACATTCTCCATTCAGCCCTGCTAAAGATTCTGGAGACCTCTCAAGCCTTTTCTAGGAAATGTGTCCTCTCTGGGCTTGAGTGTAATCTAAATGTTTTGCCTATTTCTATCCAGGAGCTCCCCCTGATGTCTGTCTGTGATACTGTGGCCTCTCTGGTGCTGTGGTATGCGCCACCTAGTGTCTGTCTGTGTTACTGCAGACTCTGGTACTTGATCACTTTTGTTCTTAGAGGCCAAGCTCCCAACCTAGCTCCTCGTTCTTGTCAATGCTGGATTCCGGCAAGATAGAAATTGGTCCCGTGGGCAGGCCAGCTAAAAGTTAGGATGTTAGCCATGCATTATACTCTATGAGAATTAGGTGTTCTAACTGCTCCACATTGTGCCAGGGGGAGGGGCTCTGGTGAGAGAGAATGCCACAAATTTTCCTACTAGGCTTTCACGTGGTTGGCTTTGTACTTGCCTGGAGCACAGGAACCTCTTAACTGGGTTCTAGGTTTTTCACATAGGCAGTTGGTCCATATATTGCTGTTAAATCCGTGTCTCCATGGTGGAAGGTGTGTTGAGGGCTCCCTGTTCTACCATCTTGCTGTCACCTTGAGTAGCTCTAGTTTTAATGAGTTTTTCCTAGGTGTCAATCGATGTTCTAAGTACTTTACATCTATTAGCTAATTTAATCCTCACACCCCTATGATCTAGGTGATGTTATTATAATCCTCATTTTCTAAGAGAGAAAGCATAGATAGATAGATAGATAGATAGATAGATAGATAGATAGATAGATAGATAGATAGATAATGTTAATATAAAGATATATAGAT